GTATATTCTCAGTTCCTAGGAAACAATAATTACTTCAAAAGACCTTTGCAGTCCTAAACACATTTACTGATTAAATTCAGTGAGTGTTACAGATGAGTTGGTATATAGAGAAATGCAGTATGCAGATTTCCCTAACTACTGTGCATAGTTTCCAGTGAATTCTTTTGTCTTTTTCTAGTGCATTCCAATAAGGCTTCCAAGTACCCTGAAATATCATTGGAAGATGAATTGAATCATGAGCGAGGCACTTGTTAGAATATTCCCAAAATCAAATTTTAGCCAGAGGTCAATTTAATTTTTAAAATATGGAAATGAAGAGAATTCAGTGCATGTAGCTGGCAGAGTTCAGTTATCGTTCCAAAAGAGATTCTTACCAAAATAGGGAATATTCCACTGACTCTTAGAATTGAAAAGGGCCATCTAAGCCACTGAACCCCTAGTGTGTTGCAGATTTGTAGATATTCCATTGCCGCTCCCAATTTCTTTGCTAAGCATATTGTGCAAAATTGGATTTTCATAAATTAAGCATTCACAGTGTGTTGTAAATTCCACACCTCTCAGAATTCTCTGCAGTTGAATAATTCTATAAAGTAGATGAGAAAGCAGGTTGAAGTCCTCTAGAGCCATCTGACCTACAAGGACACAATATGTACATGCCCCCAATTTAATAACACGGAAGAAATCTCTTCAGACATTGTAATTTGAGTCATCCATATTTAATTTAGCTATCAAAAAGGCCATACTTAATTTAGCTATCAAAAATAATGCATTGGAACTGTAGTCTCTGAGCAAAAGATTCCAACCTCACAGGATGAAAACCAGTGACTTACCATTTGAAGTAAAAGACATATTTCTTCCATGAACCCATTTCAAAAGAGGGAATTTAAAAAGGGGGGGGGATATTTATGATAATGAAATCTTTCTGCCAAGCTATTAGATCCATTCTGTGAAAATGCATTACTTTCCCCTGCTCTCTCCTGGGACCCTTTAGATGGTACAGGTGGGGAGAACAGGCCTCAGTGCCGAATTCACAGAAGGGTGAGTGTGTGAATTGGCATTTCAATTCACATTAGAGTCAACGCTCCAGAAGGAAGAGTAGCTAGAAAACAAACCTTTGTCGGTATTTCTTTCTGGCTGGGTAGGATGATAGGAATGTTGCCATTATGATCATTCCTAATCGTATATTCTTTCTGCATATATAGAATGGTTCCTTTTTAATCTCATAGTGATCTGGTCCAGTAGATTACATAGCTAAAGTGCTGAAACCCAAGGCTAAAGGCAGAACTGAAATCTGTAATTTATATGGAACCGCCCCCAAATGGCACCCCTCTAAAACAACTTACCCTAAATGTAATACAATGGCATTGGATATTTTCCCCATCTACATCATTAGCTAATGGACAGACCAAGTTCCATCTTAGTCCAGCTTTCACAGTAGCCAACCACTGGATCTGTTGTGTTTGTAAGAAGATGGAGACAAGGCCCTCTCCCCCCATTATTCCCCTGCAATTTGGATTTGTAGGCATGTTGCCATCTTGATGTTACCCTGACCCTGGAGGTCCCATTGAGTTTTCAAGACTAATTGTCCACGATAGACCTGTCCTTCATGAATGTATCAAGTTAGTGCCTATCATCAGTTCTTGTAATGAATTTAATATGTTAATTATGCTTGTATCTTCTTTTGTCTGTTCTAAATTTCCTTCCCTGCAGGGAGGGGAAATTAAATGTTAGATCTTCCCTTTCCAATTTGTGTCT